CCTCCTGGGTTCAGGCAATTCTCCTGCCTCAGCCTCCTGAGTAGCTGGGATTACAGGCACGTGCCACCATGCCCAGCTAATTTTTTGTAGTTTTAGTAGAGACGGGGTTTCACTGTGTTGACCAGGATGGTCTCGATCTCTTGACCTCGTGATCCACCCGCCTCGGCCTCCCAAAGTGCTGGGATTACAGGCTTGAGCCACCGAGCCCGGCCTAAATTCCCCCCTTTTAAAATTGTCCTAAAGTCCACAGCTATGAAAAGAATGGCGTCTAGCTGGTCTGTAGAACGTGTTTGGGGTAAGTGGCAGCAAGGGGTAATGTTACTTTTCCTCCCCTCTAGTTTGGACCCCACTATGAGCTGCTGCTTTTTCTTCTCATCTTGTCATCTTCTGGGTATGTTTGAAGGCTGAGTTGTAAGAGAATTCATAAAGGGAATAAAACAGGATTGAGATTTCACAGTGTGCACAAGGTGATAAGATAAAGGGCATATGAGCTTTAGAATGAACTCTGTCCCACACCTGAGGCCTTTTGTGTTTTGAGGAACTATTTTTGTTTATTCCTGTAATGCTTCACCTTAACATACCACATCTGTGTGACTTAATGGGGATCAGGTTTTGCCACCACACACATCTTCTGGAGCTGGGCAGCATCTGCTCTGTGTTCCGTGTGGAATGGAGAAAAATATGCCTGCTCTGCCGCCTTCTATGTTCACAGGCCCAGACCAAGAAAGTGACGCACAGCGACGTACTGCTAGACATTTCCACAAAGTGGTCAACTCTGCCTGGCATCCTCAAACTTTTTGGGCATCTATTTTGAAAACTATAGGAGCCTTTGGAAGGCCTTTTATGTGTGTTAGGAGGGGAAGGGTGTTGAGATTGTCACCATCCTTCAAGCTGAGACCCTGGTGAGCCTTTGCCACTGTGAGAACCGCATAGCTGACCAAGGCTGTGCTTGAGGTACAGAGGACACACATTGCAGTTGGGCCTGTGTCATGTTTCCTTACCGTCATTTTTTTACAGAGGAAAGGGGCATTGTTTTTTCCCTTCTTTCTCAACAGTTCCTGTGAATAAACATTTCTGAGCTCCCTGAGAGCAAGAGCCCTCACTTCTTGCGGTGCCGGGACCATGTGTTGGTGAAGCTGGTGCTGTGGGGGCCACTCACTCAAATGACACCTGGAGGCCTTTTCCTCCCTCCCCACCCCCTTCCCCAGCCCGATGTCTTGGCCTCCTGCCCAACCAGACACCTCAAACTCTGTCAGTGCCCTGGAATTCTGGCAGAGAATCCTCACCAGTTCTCACTAACCTTCTCCCCAGGCAAGGTCAGCTGCCAGCATGGTGCTCTGCCAGGACGGGTTTTCCTGAAGGAGGCTGCTCACACTGCGATGGGCCTCTTCCAAGCCCTGCACACCCGCCCCTGCAGCCCTTTTGGTCCCCCCTTTTCCTGTGCCTCAGCGCTCCTTGCCTGGCTGTAGATAACAAACTAGCGTTGCCCAAAGGGCAGATCTGGCCCCCCGCCATGACTTCATCTTGGCAAAACGAGTCCTTTTAAAATTATGCGCTAATTCTGTATGGGAGCATGCAAAAGGCATTACTTAGAGATTGAAATTCCAAACTATCTGTAGTTTTTCAACGGAAATGTATCAGCTAGGGAAAAACCATCAAGCTCGTTATTATTTTTTGATCTTCAGTTGTATTTTTGTGAATATTTTAATACATCTTTTTCAATTTCTGGATTGTGTTGTGTGCTGATTTTGACCAGAATAGAACGAGATAAAAGCCCTTCACTCATACCACTCCAGCTACGCCAGCCTTCTTTTCTTCAAAACTGCCATCCGTGCACCTGCTTCTGGGCCTTTGCATGTGCTGTTTCCTGGGCCTGAAGCGCGCCTTCTGCACATATGCCTGTGGTTTGGTCTCTGACTTCCTTTAAACCTCTGCTCAAATGTTACCTCCTCAGGGAGACCTCCTGTGATACATATAAAAGAGCAACACACCCTCCCCTCAACCTCCCTAGCCCCCTCAATTCTGCTCTATTTTTCTCCCTCTCTCCCATTACACACTTCCTTGTCTGTTTTCCCCACTAGAACATAAGCATCAAGCGGCCAGGACAGGACCTTGCTGTTTTGTTCACTGCCCCATCTGCAGTAAGGGGAACAGTGCCTGGAACCTAGCAGCTGCTCAATACATGTTTCCTGGTTGGATGGATTCATCCATTCAGCAACCTAGGCTGAGAAGGATTCTGTGCCAAGCCCTGTGTGTAAGGAAACAAAGAAGATAAAATCTCAAGGAGCTTGCCACAAGGTGGAGGTGACAGGTGGCATGAATGGAAATAACTAATAGTTACCAAATACATGGTGTGAGCCAGGCACTTTGCATTTCTTGCTCTATTATTTCTGTGAGTTAATACTAATTGTTCTAATCTCAATCTCATTGTCTGAAACAGTATATGGCCTGCCTAGGGCCACTTAGCTAATAAGGTACAGAGAAGAGGGGCTGGGCCTGGGACCACTGTGTGATCCAAAGCCTGTCCTACCCACTGTGGCTTCTCACGCCAAAGGAGAGAACCAAACTGCTTCCTTACTCAGAAAAATGTGCTATGGGCCTGAAATGCAGTTGCAGTTTTCTCCCAGTCTCTCGGGAGCTGGTTAGGGGTGAACTTGAGGCGGTAGTAGTAGAGGTGGTAGGCACAGATGTCAGAGCTTTAACCTCGGTCTGGAAGACAATATGGTGACTTAATTTGTTGAGAAACTATGTCACAAAAAAATGTGTTACTAATAAAACATTGAAGCTTTGCAGTGGCTTAGAATATTATAAATTAACATGGATTACATAACTTTGGGCTTGCAAAACCTAATGCGTTCCTGAGTGGGAGAGGACGAGTCACAGCTGGCAGGAACTCCCCTGGGGGTAATCCTCACATGTGAACAGCATCCATCTTGTTATGATGTGGCAAAAAGAAAAGGGATGCTTCCTCCAGCATACAAGGGCAGGAGTGATGGAATCTTACATTTTTGTCATCTCTACAGTTCCTTCCAAGTCAGCACTGTGTTGGAGGGCGTCCTCCTGCTGGGGCTCTGGTTTCCACGCTACATAGGGGCCTTGCCAACCAAAGATGTACTTATTATTAATGAGAGCAGCTTCCATCCCTGAGGGAGCCGAGTTGAGCAGTGGTTAGAGGAAACCTCAGATACCCTCTCATGCCAGTTGCCTCCCTTCTGACCCCTCTGGTGGTTCCTGTGCTAACTGGACTGGGGAACCACTGACAATCCTCCCACTGTGTAGAGAAGGTGAGGGAGCAGCCACCGGGAGAAAAGTGGCATCTGTGGCATTGGTGGAGCTGGTGGTAGGAACCAACCATCTGCTTTTATGGTGGGTTCTCTTCCTGTACTGTCCTCTTGCATAGTCAAGATATTTTATTATGAAAAATTTCAATATATTTTGTTTTTATTGTAGAATTACTTTACTGAAATTACCCTTTGACATAATCTGAAAATGTTTCTTTTTTTTTTGAAAAAGAGTCTTGATCTATTGCGCAGGCTGGAGTGCAGGGGAGCTATCTTGGCTCACTGCAACCTCCACCTCCCGGGTTGCAGCAGTTCTCACGCCTCAGCCTCCTGAGTAGCTGGGATTACAGGCATACGCCACCACACCCGGCTAATTTTTTGTATTTTTAGTAGAGACGGAGTTTCACCATGTTGGCCAGGCTGGTCTTGAACTGACCTCAAGTGATCTGTCCGCCTCAGCCTCCCAAAGTGCTGGGATTACAGGTGTGAGCCATCGTGCCCGGCCCTTTTGACAGAATTCTATCAGTCTACATTGAAATTGTCATCAAAAAGAGTCCTAGTAAACTACTTATTGTACTTTATTTCCAGGATGTCTTTGAGAACGTTGTTCTCTATCATACATTTTACAATTTTATAAAGACCCACAGCACAAATATCTCTCTGGATTCATTCTAGACGATGTGGTTTAAATCTGTGTCCCAGCTTAAATCTCCTGTCGAGTTGTGCTCCCCAGTGCCGGAGGTGAGGCCTGGTAGGAGGTGATTGGATCACAGGGGGCAGATTTCTCCTGAATGGTTTAGCACCGGCCTCCTTGGTACTGTTCCCGTGGTTGTGAGTTCTCACGAGACCTGGTT